TCAAGCCAAGGAAACGATCAAAGTTATAACACATAAAAAGATATTGAATTTTGGATTTTGGGTTTTTTTCTCTAGGGACAGGTATATATCTGAATAGCAGTTACCCTTCAGCTTGGTATAAACACCGAAACCTTCCGATATTTCCTTTGAAAAGTTGTTTTGATTACTGGACTGATTTGTCGCAAATGCAAATTATTCTTTTGGCCGATGTGGTTAATTTTGCTGTCACTGACAAACGAAAACCGGAAAATTAATTTGGGTTTTTTTACGCTTTTTATTTATTTACTTCTTTTTATTTCTATTTATTATTATTATTTTTTTTAAATTTCATTTTGCCTTTACTTTACTTTATTTAACTTATATATTTTATGATGCCGCCAAGATGGTCTTGAATAAATCGGAAACGTATTTTATTTCAAATAATCTCCTATGGCGATAAAGGGAAAGTGGTTAGAAAGAAACAACAGGTTGGTTTTTCATTTACCAGCTGTTGTCGATACTTTTCCTTCCGTTTTCCTTCCGTTTTCGTATTCATTTCCTTTACTTCTATTTGCCTTTTATCTTTCTTGCTGTCCTTTTCTTTTCCTTCCCACTTTCTCTCTTGTCCCTTTCTTCCTTTTCATTCCTTTCCTTCTCACTTTTATCACAAATAGACCACTAGTGATGCAGCCTATCAGAGCGCAGCATTAGTGATAGACCATGAGTAGGTTTTATATTACTAAGTATTATAGTCCAATACAGCATTCTGGACTTTGTGCTGAGAGATTATCTTAAGGCTTCTGCCATATTCTATAAAATTTAAAATCTTTACCTGCATGCATCTCTCATAAAATAAAAAAAAAAATGATATGTATCACTCGGGAGTTCCAGGTAGGTGGGCATTGTCATAGTAAGAAGCCGGAACTCTCCTTGGATTTTCGAACACGGCCTCGTGCGAGTCTTTCACTTGTCGTCTATTAAAATCACGCTGGGATTTGAACTGAATTCTTTCGTAAGACCCAGGCCGACCATTTCTTTGATTTTCAAAAATGATGTTACTTTCACGTGGCCTGGTGTATTCCTGGTGTTGTTTTAGATTGTGCCCTTCTTGCCTCGATTGCATGCCAACCTGAGGTTGGGGCTTGTGTCGGTTTGGTTTGTCTTCATCCAGCCAGAATCTTTCTCCTGTTATTTTATTATACGCATAGGTACGGCCAGTTGCTGGGGAAAGAAATCAGCTAATTATAAAGTGGAATAAAAGGTAGGTTGGATTTCAGATTAGGAACAGTGTCGTAGCGAGAGAATGAGAGAGCGAGGAAGTGGAGGGGAGAGGGAGGGGGAGAGGAGAGGAGAGGGCGCCCTGCGAAAGCATCGGCCAATTCCATAATAACTGCACTAGTATAAACCATATAGATAATGATTCAGTCTCAAGTGCTTTTCCTGTGCAAAAAGTAGTTTTGAATATAGAATCAAGTGATGGGAATAAAACTATTGTGTTACCAAGGTCGATAGCTTTCCCGTCGAATTGTCTTGTTTCCTGTCCAGCACTCTGTATAAAAATAATTAAATCATATAAAATGATGAAAAGCAGTAATTTGTTTGTGATACAGCCTCTTATAAAATTAGCATTCGAGGTTTATAAAATGTACTTACAATGAAAGTCCCTGACGGAGGCAACGTCATTATCTTCGAATGTTGAGCTTTTGCTAAAAAGAGACATGATTTATATTGCATAATCAAAGTTAAGATGTTGATTAATAGACAATGGGTATAGATAGCACCTTGGACTGTCGCATCCAAATGTATACAGCGTTTTCACTCTCGTGATAAGGCAGCCATATTGGAGTACCAAACAAAAGAAATTTTCTGCACGTTAAATAGAGTTCAATCCCCGAAGGATAGAAAATGTATTGTTTTAGTATACCAGGCATGGCCGCTCTGAAGTCACTTGAAAACGCTCTATGTCCTATATAGATAGAGGAAGGTAGAGCAAAAGCAGAAAAGGAGAAATTAGGAAAAACAATATACTTGTTTTAAGAAAACTGATAAAAACTCACGCTTGTATATTGGGAAGTCTGAAGGATCCACGACTCCTTTTTTGGGTCTCAAATGAGGTTGGCGAAGCTGCTCTTGTCGCTTGCTGATAAAAAAAATAACATCATTGTTACCAAACGTTTGCACAATAACTTTTCCTTTTTTAAGTGAGTTTGAACTGCCCCAGAAGTTAAATTTAAGTTTTCTTTGTATTTGGATGTCATTACATAGCCAGTTGTCGTTTCATCTACATGTACTTGTTGTTGTCCGAGCTTTCGGATCTTAGATCCATCATCGAAATATGGTCAGGTTTACCGACGAAAAAAAACCCCGACTAAACTGAAGTTTATCCCAGAATTTGTTTCAGGGTTTAAAAAAAATGCTTTTTCTTTTACCTATACTCAGACACCTAGACTCAAGGCAGTACACAATAATATCACCATTTGCCTACCGTTTTATGTGTTTCATTCTAAGGCATAGCACTGTAATTATTGCAAGCACTAAGAGAAATGTGCAGCACACAAGTGTTGCAATTCCCTCGGTTGTTTGGATGAAGGAAGGTTCGGGAGGTACAGTGGGTTTGGTTGCTTCTATTTTTGATATCTTGAAATTCTAGAAAAAATAACGATAATATAAGTGATATAAAAACACATTAGACCCTACTGAGAAAGCGTCCGTCTGTTGATGTATATTGATTTATAAAACGCATGAATAATTAATGAGAAAACACAATAGAAATCATTGTCCGTGGAGGAGGTTGTGTATCTGATACAAAATCGTCCTGATTTGCATAAACTTTAACTCCAATTTTCTTAGCCAAATTCAATTTTATCTTTAAAATTATAGTAGAACATGAATGTATACACCTAGACGTTTCATAAGTAATATACAATATACGTG